AAGTTGACTCCTTTTAGACATATTTTTTAAAAAAAGATTTTTTTATTTTCAAACTATTTGTAACTGCACCTACATGAGAAATAAAAAATTTTTTATTTATATGTATTAGTTGTGGCGTAATTCAAATTTTAATATGTTAGGATTTGCAATGATCAACAGGTGGTCAGATATTTTTTGGAGGGGAGTGTACATTCTCTTTATTTGCGAGTCAATATTAGCATATCAGAGTCTTGGAAAATTTTCAGACTCTATAGTTACTATATATACTTCAGAAAATACTATGCGTGAAATGATCATTTATTAAAATTACCAAAATAATATAATAATTTCTAATTGATAATTAAATTTTGTACTATAATCATTACTGCCATTAATAAAATATCTGATCCTTTTCCTTATTTTCTTAATCAGAATCCAATTTATACAATGAATAAGAATTTCATCAGAAAATTTTCCCATAAATCATTCACCCAATTGCATACATCACCAATTTTAACATTTCTCCAAATAGTTCTTCAGAATCACTATTAGTCATCCACAGATGCCATTCCTTTTAAAGGTCATCTTTGAATGGTTTATTAATAACTATGTCAAGTTGTTAATAAACGCTAGTTAATCTACCCAGAATTATTACTAAATCAATATCAAATTTATGTTTGACTGATTTTTCAAGATGACTCTTAAATGAATTAATTATACCATCATTATTAAAGACCTAGATTCATTATTTCTTGAATTATTGAAATAATCAACATATTTATTCATTAAATTAGCATTTTATTCATAAAACCAAACTATAATACTAAAAGGAATTTGTTCTATTTTTTTTTCTTAAATTAAAATTTGGATAAATAAATTAATAAAGTTCAAATTAAATTAAATTTTCTTATTAGCAATATAAGTAAAATAACTGTAAAGTGATTTTTTTATTACTTATTCTATAAATATAAACTGTTCTTCACCTATTTGATTAATAGTAAAATTACTGGGATTTCGTTCATATTAAAAATATTGTATTTTACAAGACTTGCAATTTAAAATTAGTAAATTCATTATATTATTTTAATAATTCTTTGGTTTATTTGAGAGATTTTTATATCTTTTAAAAAACAATTTTTTTCTTTACAAAATTTATAATCTTTATTAAATTCCATGAAAATTATAATATCTTATTTACTTAATTGCTAATTCACCGATCAATCAAAGCAGATTTATATGATAAATTTGGGACGATCGGCATATGATAATCTCTAATGTGCAGTAATCACATGACACACAAAGCATCAAAGTAACTTATATCAGAAAAAAAATTAACAGAACGATAAACTGAATTTGAAAGTTTTGATTTAGTCATTTATAAAATTTTTTCGTCTCCTATTTAAAAACTTTTATATGGGAGAAATGGAGATTTGAGTAGGTTAAAATATAGTAAAATTAAAATTTTATTGATTTATATTATAAAAATATTATCTTTTCTGTCGCTTACGACTATTTTTACTATTACCACCATTTTCAATTCTTTTATTAGCTTTACCTATTACTCTTTGTTCTGCTGATTCTTTATGTAAGCTTGCGGAATATCTTGTAATCCAACTCTCAATTGTTTTTATTTCAAGTACCTCGTCTTTTTGAATTTCACCTTCTGCTACTAATTTATTTAGCTCTAAAACCATATCTTTTGTAGACATTCAGTCTGTTTTATTCACATTTTTCACCAAAAAACCCCTTCAAATAAGCTTTTACTATTGCTATTATATGTTTTCCACTACCCCTTTGACCATATTTCTGGTTACTCTTGAGCACTCACTCATTTTCTAACTGAAATTTATCACTTATGTCTATAATAATAAAGTAACTATAATTTGTAGAGAAAAACTTACATTATTATCAAGGCAGTCTGGCTGTACCTATCTGTAGAACAGATTTAGGTATTATTTCTAATTTTCCAACATACTTTTATTTATTTTATCTGTAAAAGAAAAAAAAAATGATTATTTTTTATTATTTTTGAATAAACATAAATATAATAAATATATTTTTTATCTATAACATACTTTTAATCCAAACTATAGAAAAATTCTATGGCAAATTTGGTTTGGTATATGTAGAAATATCAGAAGTTGGCTTGTGTAAGGATTCATCAATTAATTTTGAGATGTCAGTTGAAGAGTAATATGACCATTCACCTATATATGATAAAATTTGAGCTTGAATATATCTGATGAATGGGCCTTCAATTGGCCATTCAAAATATGATAATTTAGTAATGCTAGATATAGTTTTAACGGGTACATAATTTCGTTTTAGTTCTAGATGAACAATAGAAGTTCTGTCAAGTTTCTTTATCACATCTTCTATTTTCTCACCATTATCTAAATTATACCTGACTCTTATGTATTTCTTGATAGAATGAGCTATTTAAAAGGAAATTGGTACTGATAATTTACTGTTTTGTAGATAAAATCAATATTTTATCAAATAAAACCATAATTTACTTGCACATGATGCGAATCAACACTAGATTTTACCTTTCCAGGTTTGAAAAAATGCCATTTACAAATATCCATTCCATACCATTGATTCCAATTTACAACAATAGTCATTAATTCTGAATTGTGATAATGATCACCATTATCAGAAAAAATTTTGATCCACTTCAGTTTTAGATTTAACGTTTCAAAAATAGCATCAAAGGATGATGTAGTAAATCAAGCATCTTGCTTGGTATTGGTAGACCAGTGGTCAAATGCTTGTATATTTAATTGTAAAGCATTACATTTTGTAAAAACCAAAATCATATGAAGTGTCCAGCCATACTTTCCAAAGAACTGCTCCTTAGTTTCGCAAGCACTTTTAGGTAAAATCCTAATTTTGTAATCACATACTAGAATTGTGCCATCATCGTTAAGTTCTAAAAGCTTTACTTTAAATTAATTATTTAGATGGACTTTTCTTATCTGATAAGCAAGAAAATAATAAAGTTTATTATGTGATTCTTCGATTGTAGTTCAAAAATTCTCTGTAAGTATTATAATTAAATGTTCAAGAAGCATGAATAATTGATCACACATAATATAACAGCTCTTATGTTCTTATATACACTCTCTAAACGCGTATAATAAATAGTGGTTAATTATATCCATATGTGATACTGTGCCATCTTCATTTACAATAAGTTTATTTTTAAAACCTCATTTTAGATGATAGCATAATTTTTCAAGTTCATTTATTAGTAAATTCTTAAGTTTTTGAGATTTTTATTTTTATTTTTTTAAAAAAAAAATAATAAATAATATTTATTTACAATTTTTTTATAAATAATAAATTCAAATAAAATTTTGTTACATAATATTCTTATTATATATCTGTGATTCCTTTTCTACATATAATCGTATCAAACTAATTAATGTATCAAACACTTTGTAACAATATTCATTGCAAATATTACATAATCCACCTAAATCTTTTCGATATACATATCGATCACTTACCAAACACGTCATAAAAGAGATTCTTTTTATTCTATCAGAATAAGCTACCTCAAATTTTTGCTATAGAGTTTCTTTACTATCTTTTAAATATAGTAATAGTAGGTTAGTTTTTGGTTCAACACGATAAGAGCTCATTGTGACATTTTCTTTATCAGAAAAAAAGCTCTCAAATTCTCTATCTTTTATTTCAGAAATACAATTTCATATTACAACTGGTTTGATTTTTTGTAAAACACCCTAGACTATTTATGTGACTATATTTCATTGAGACACTAATTAAATCATTTGAAATCTAAAAAAAATTGTGATAAGTTTATTTTATTTATGAAATAACAAATGGTATTATATTCAAACTTACTTGTAATTTTTTTTGTATTTCTTTAAATTCAAACTTTTCCATTATAATAAAAAGAATTCGTTGCTTTCTATCTAATCCGCATTTATTAGCTTTGATTGCTTGTTTAAAACATTGCCAGAATTTATCAATGATTATTTTCAATTGATTATTTTCTTTTATAAATTCAACTTCATTATTATAAACACTATTTAGCAAATTCTTATTGAACAAGTATAGAAGTGTGATACTGTCATTACTAGAATTCACTGCGTATATTCAAAATTTAGGCTATAATAATAAAAGTTTGATTTTTTAACTACATGATTATATTGGATGCAAAATTTTATGGTTAATTCCAAAAATCCTTACCTTTAATTTTTGCTTTTTATAAGACATTATGTTCATACAATCTACGCTTTTCATCATCTTCCTTCAAGCACATAACTTCTAATCATTAAATTCATAATTTGATGGATATAGTGGTTTAAGATGCATCATAAATTCTATAATATTTGATTCTTGTTCTTTCCATTCAATAAAAAACTTATGCCAATTAAGATCAAGAATGGTAATTTGACGTTTTAGATACCGCTTGAATGCTTGGGTCATTATTTCGATATTATCCCATTCATTCATGCTATATATTAGTGATTTTACATAAATTTTCAATGTATTGACTGTAGTAGAATGCTCAATTCCAAATAAAATACCACTATTATAATTTTTCAATATTCCTGCTTTCTTCTAAATTTCAATTAGTGAAATATCACTATAGTATATAATTTTTTCTTTCTTCTAAAATATCTTTATACAATATTTTTTACATTCAATTTTTTGTATAAAAAGACTTTGCTTGCCTCAATATTTGAACATAAAATTTGATTAATACCTAACCATATTATTATCATTTGAATCATCTAACTTTATAATTAGAATAGAAAGTTTGTCAACCATTATTTTGAAAGAATAAAATAAAACATTAGATAATAGTTCTTGAGTAACATTTTCATTATCAAATCCTAAAACTGAAGGTCCTGAATATTATATTTTATTATTAAAAAGATTGTTGTAAGTTTTATTTATAGCTTCTGAAGTGAAAAGGCAAACTTTTGCAGCTACATCAGATTCACAGATATAGCTTAGTTTAATGCCATCTTCTGCACTAACAATACGAATAATAAATTTAGTTTTGTTAAGTTCTAATTGAACTCTCATATTTAGTTTTATAGGTATACATATTTGTTTCTCTTTATTAAGAATTTTTCTATCAATAAAAGTCTATCTGCTTAAACAAAAATATCATAAAGTAGCGTGCTAAATTATCAATTCTTAATTGACAATGAATATAAGAAATATTTCCAATTTTTCAATAATATTGAGAAAGCTGATGAAGTATTAAAAAAGAATGTTTGTATATCATCTGGAAAAAAATATTGTTACATTTTAGTTCCAATTGGTAGAATTATACATTAAGACAGAAGCTGATGATTTTGGTATTTAGCTAATTGATCTCACTCCTGCTGATGAAGATGATGTAACAACTTCCAATCAAATGGAAACTATAACCTAGGAGGGATATCTTCCTATCACTGAAGAGTCTTCACATCAATATCCATCTAATTTAAAATCTCTTAGAGAAAATTATGGAAGTAAGAATCATATTTCAGTCTCAAGCATTTTCATATGTGAAAAATAATGTAAATCCTAATCAACATTCTAACCGAAAACCTTCAGAAATTTTAAGAGAGCTTTCAACACCATCAATTGCGCAAATAACAGATGAAATTATAAAACCCAAAAGTGAAGAAAATGAGATCAAATAATTCTTTATATATAAAAGTCAATTCTTTTAATGCTTATTAGAAAGTATTATAACAATCAATAAAAAAATATAATGCAGTTTATAAAATAAAAGTGCAATGCATAGCATATTAGAAATTCGAAGTGAAATCTTATTATTATATTGTTTTGTAAAGTAATAAAAAGCCAGAGACTTGACTAAGTTAAAAATGATGGGGTAGATCACGTTTTAAAGAGAGGAATAAAGCACTAAAATTATTCCCTAGTAAAAATGGCATTCCATCTCACTACCCCGCTCTAAACTATTATTAAGTTTACTATCTACCCATAAACTAATATCGTTTAATGTACTAATGAGACTGTCCTTCTTAATATTTATTTCATAAAACCCTAAACTATAACTTTCTTAATTTTCCCACAAAGTGCACAGATTTTTATTGCTACATGTAGGCACATCTTCTCCAAATTTAATCTTTTTTCGACTCTGATTCAATCGAAAATTTTCTTGAATTGGGTCCAGACAGAAAGGCTATTGCTTTTGAACAATACTAGACCAAATCCTGGAATTGACTATAACAATATTAGTAATTTAACTTTTTTCGATTATAAAAGGCAGATCACGTCTAGTATTCTCCTCTATAATATGTCTTAATTTTGTATTCACATCCTTAAGCTTAGTATTCTCAGTCTCAAATTCAAACTGTGACGATATGCTCGATAAATTTTATAATATTCAAAAGTTCATTAATATATATACATTATATAGAAATAATTAGGTTATACCAGCTGATCATTTCTTGAGAAAATGGTTTTGCCAAGAAAAAATTTTTATTAATACATATAAAATAAATACAAAACTTCGGGGCTTAGCCCAAGATACATGTTATTTTTTGATAATTTTTTTGATTCTAGCCCTCTTGCTAGCTGGAGAACTATCAACACTAACCCTATCCTTTAACAATCCAACAATAATACCGATTACTTTTTTCACATTACTCTGAAGTAATTTCAGATTTTCTTTAACTGCAGATTTTGTTAGATTAATCTAGTATTCATGGTTACTTGTACAATAGATACCATCTGGAGTATATATAATAAAGTGCCACTCTATTCCTGTGATCACAATGCCATAAAGGTAGTCAAAATAATCATTTTTGAATGCTTGATCTATGCTTCGTTTCTTTATATTTATCTGGAATGCACTTTCAAGCTGAGCTAGATTCTTAAAAATAAAATGTGTTAATATTGAATCTTCTCTAACAAATCACAAAAGTATATGTAAACTTACTTGGGCATATTCAATCTTAATATTATGTGGTTTCCTTTCAGTGATACAGAGGAGATCTTGCAGACCTTTGATTGCATAGTCTACTCTGCCTATTACATATTCATCAGAAATATCTTTTTGTAAAACTATGAATATATTTTGAGAGGTGAGATTTTTAGCTATAGCAATAGATGCATGTAATATTGCTAAAATAAATTTACAGCATGTTGCCTTATTGATATCAATCATAGATTTCATGTTTGAAAGTTTTAGAATAATGTTTTCCATACAATGATTAAATATCTTATCATCATTATTGATTTTCTCAAAAACTATAAAGGAAAAAAATTATTATATACAATATTTCAATCTGAAAAATTAAGAGAGTAATCACCTACTAGGATTAAATTGCTTAATGTTTGTTATATCTTCTCTATTAACCTTATTTTTACACAATATTTTTTTCAAATCATCAAAAGTTTTAAACGAGGAATAGTTTCGTAATTTCTGATTGAAACTTTTAATAAATTCTGTAAATCTTATTGCTAAACCTAATGCAAACCAATATTACAAAAATCTTCTTTAGTTAACTTAAAAAAGTCTGAACTAGCAATTTTCTCTTTACAGAGAATTTTAATATCATCTTTATCAAGTTTTAAGTTTTTTCTTTTTAAATAATCAATAAGCTCTTCTGTATTAAAATTTTTAATAACGTCTGACATTGTTTTAGTAGAAATTTCTTTTATTATTGAGGTAAGTAAAATAGATAAAGAAGTTATTTTTATATGTATATTTGTATTTGTGAAAAAATTTGCATTAATTTAATTGCAATTACAGATAAAGTTAATTTATGAATATAAAAGTATTTTTGTTTCTAAAATAAAATATATTTAGAGAAAAATAAAAGAAGTATTTTATATTGATTAATGTTTTACCTAATATACAAGTAAATTAAGATGTAGTACAAAATTATCAGGTGATTATTGTTTAAAGCGTAAGCGTAAGATACTTTCATTCAGATCCTAAAATATGTATGCAATATCTGTCTGCATGCATGTATAGCCAATGAAATTTTTGGATCAGGTGTAATGTATTTTTTATTTATTATCTGATGATATTTTTGTTTATGTCACTGTATATGCAACAAAATTTATTTTAAATCTTTAACGCAATTTTTTATTTTACAATCAATTTTAAAGAATTTTAAGTAATACCATTAAAAAATTATTAAAAAAAATTTATTTTCAAATATTGTAGATACAGATACATTTTATTTTATTTTTTTTTTTTAAAGAATATTTATTTTAAGCAAAATACCAATACATATTTTTATGATAAACTTTTTAGTGTTACATTTTTTTAGTAATCTATTTATTTTATTTTTTATTACTTTTTATATGATCATATAATTTATGACGCTTCAAACACATCAACAATTTCTATTTTTTAATATTATATAATTACACATGATATTTATCAAAATTTATAATAAAAACGTTTTATTTGAAAATAAATTATTATTAGAATAACTAATATATTTACATAATAAAAATAAAAGACTAATTATCTTTAATTAGTATCTCTAATATTATTTTAATAAGATAATATATAATAATATTAATTTTCTTTTTATTAAAATAAATAGGTTTTTTTATAATTGGTTAATTATATACTAATTTGATTAGCTAATAACAATTTACATGACTATACATTTAATAAAAATTTAAAAATTTAATTTTTTAAATCTGAAATCAATAAAAATATTATGTAAAAGGATTAAATTATCTTTAATAAGTGAGAAATAAGAAATATTTCTTTATTAAATTTATTTAAATTACAATTTATTATTAGTCTTTGATTCAAAATTTAAATCAAATTATATAATAAAATTAAAACATAAAAGTATAATTATATGTTATTTATTATTTATTAGAAATAATTTAATCTTCTTTTTATTTATATATTAGTAAGATAAGAAAACTCCTAAGATATATATAAATATACAGTTAATTTTTATTATAATAAATTTTAATATAAAAAATTTCACATTATAATGAATCATTAGTAAGATATAGAATTTTTTATATGAAAAAATCTTATTATATCAAATTGTATTATATAAATACTGTATAATGTTTAATAAATTATAGTTTATTAATATAGCATATATAAATGATTTTTTTATAGTAAATTTACTTATACTGAATTTTTTTTTTGATATAACAAAGATTTTTTTATAAATATGAAAAATTAAGAATAAATTATTTTAATTATAAAGGATAATTTAATATTTATCTTTTATCAAATATAATAAATATATATTTTTTAATATTAAATAAATAAAAAAAATGATTTTTCTATTTTACATTTTGCATTTGTATATTGTATTTTATTTTATTATTTTATTATATATTTTTTAAAAAAAAATTCTAAATATTTTATTTTATTTTTTTTATTACATAATTTTTTAAAATGTCAAAACTAAGTTAACTTTAATTTTATCTGAAGTCTCTAATAAATATAAATCCCTTACTATAACTTAAAAAAAGAAATTTGCTTAAAAAATTATCTTCGTCTAATTTAAAAAATAATACTTAGCTATTAAATTTGATATTAATGAAGGAACGATTTATGATATTTTAAAAGTAAAAAATCATTGATTTGCTATAAATCTTAATTTATATTAAGTTAGTTTAAAATATGAAAAAAATCACTATTTCTTAATATTATAGAAGTATTAACCATTTGACTAGAAAATGCTATTTAAGTTGACTTCATTATAATTAATAATATTTTTTCAACTAAGACATTGGAATTTGCTTTTTTACTTAAATAAAATAAATTCAAAGATTCTAATAGGTGGGTTAATAACTTTAAGAAATAGTATAATTTAAAATAACATAATATACATGGTGAAGCTGAAAATGTATTACTTCAAAATTATAATGCAGAAAGGTTTCTGTCAAACTTTAAAAAATTATAATTCTAAGGATATCTTTAATTATGATAAAATGAAATTATTTGAAAAATAAATTCAGTTATATAATATTTAATAAGTATGTATTCAGAATAAATAGTCAAAGGATTATGTGTTTATTCTTCTTATTTGTAACGTAATCAGGAGTGAAAAATTACCTTCTTTATTCATATATAAGTATAAAAATTTCTGAGTTCTTAAAAATATCAATAAAATGAAACTTCTAATAAATTATTACTAGAATCAAAAAAAAAATTGATTGCAAGTATTAATTTGGAATAAATATATTAAAAAACTTAATATTTAAATAAGAAAATAAAATCGAAATATTCTTCTTATTGATAATGTTCTCATATATATTTTATATAAAATTACTTGTTTAACTAATATCACTATTAAATACTTATTTCTAAATACTATAACGTTCCTTCAATCTTGTGATTAAGGAATCATTAATAGTTTTAAGGTAAAAATTATAATTAATTGAATATTATTATACTTTATATATTATTTATATTTTAATTTAAATTTAATTTATTTTAGGCATAATATCAGAAGTTATATTTACAAAATTAAATCAAAGCCTTTAATAATTTTAATGAATTTAGTATTGAACCTAAGAAATTAATATTAAAAATATGTTTTAAAAGTATAGAATAATGTTTTAAATTTTATAATTAAAATTAGATAAAGACAAATATTTTGTTTAATAATAATAATAAAGAAAGTAAAATTAAATTTAAGCTTAAATGTCTTAAGAAGTTAAAAAAATTCAAGTTTAAATCAATAAACTTAATTTTAATAATCTTTTAACTGCTAAAAAATTTGTTCAATTTGATAAATCTAAAATTACAAATGAAATAAAATCTGATGAAAAAAATTTAAAGATAATTATATCTAACGAATAAGATAAGAAAAAAAAAAGATTCTTTATTAACTATTATTTATAAAAAAGTTATTAGATCTTTTATAAAGTAATTTTATATCTTAAATAATAAAAAGAAGTGAACAATAAAGAGTTATATTAATTAAATAGTTTATTTTTACATGATAAATTAACTTTAATAATTTTATTAACTATATTTAAATTTTTTTATGTATTTTTTATGTATAATTTAATTTTTTTATGTATTATATATAGTTTGTTTTTACATTAATAATTTTTAGTATTTTTTACATAATAATATAATAAATAGTATATAATAATAGTAGTATAATGATAATACTATATTAATTAAATAATACTTTCTTATGATCATATTAAAATTTTATTAAAATTATATTGAGAAATTATTAATATTTAACGAATTTTTTGTTAAACTTGTATTAAAATTTTTTAATAAAGTTTCTTAATAATAATAAGAACACAAAATAAGTTAACAACTTAATATATTATAATTTATTGATTAAATATCCTGAGATATTATAATCTAATAATTAATATAGTCTATCTTTAATAAGGTTGTTAAACGAAATCTAGAGGCCTTGTAAGTTATTTAAAATGGAAAAAGATAAAATTTAGTGAAATTATATTAAAATCTTATTAAAAATTCTGCAAAATTCTAAAAAAGGTAAAACTATATCAAAGCTTATAAAAATGTGAAACTATATTAAAACCTTAATAAAAAATTAGTAAAACTATAGTTTAGATATTTTGCTAAATTTAAAATGAATTTAAATAAGCAACCTTAACTTTTAATATAGCAAAGTAATCATTCATTATTTCAAATTCATTATAGCAAATTAGCAAAGAATTTGAAAGATTTGTTTAGTTACTTCGTTATAGAAAGAAAATTGATATATTTAATTAGTTAAGTATCATGTGATTCATTTATCAAAATTTACTATATCAAAAGTAAACTGTATATACTATTACATTATCTCTTCAATTGTTTTACTTACAAATTTATAGGCAATTTTATTTATTAATTACAATTATTTTTAATTATTTTTAAATATTTTATTAAAATTTTAAACTCATATATCTTGCTATCTATTAATCTCAGAAATATAAAAATACTATCATTTAATAGGATTTAATGTGATGAATCTAATAAACTTAATTTTATATTTTTATAATTATTAGATAATAAATTATTTTTAAAAATTAATATATATTAATAATTATTAATTTTAAAAGTTTAAAAATATTATCATTAGATATATTATAATATGATAAATCTAAAAATTTTATTTTATCTTTTTATAATCATTAGATATTAAAGTATTTTAAGATTTTTAAAATATTTTAAAAATAATTTTATATTTACAGTTTAAAAGATAATTTTTTGATTAATATATTCAGCTAGATTATAATATTCTATTGCATCATTTTAATAATAAAAAGTTTATAGAATGATAAAAACATATTATAGTTTAAATAATTATATATTAATTAAAAGGTTATAATATTTTAGAATATATTAATTATTGAAACATAATAATATAATAATATATTAAATCAGATAAAATAATTATTAGATTTTTATAATATAAATTTTAAATTTAACATGATTATCCAGTTTTTTTTTATATATTAAATTTTTTTTATATATATTTATTATATTTTGTATTATATTTAAGATTGTTAAATTAATTTGTAAATCTCTTATAATCTCATTTTCTTAAAAAATATACTAATAATTATTGTACATATTAATTTTAAAATAATATTTGAGTGAAAAAAACTTTTTGTTAATGAAGATATAAATATAGAAAAATTTTTTAAAAATGATGTAATTTATAAATTAAATCTAGACTATAAGAAAAAATTGTGTAGTATATTAGTCATACAAATTAGACAAAATAAAAAATTGTGATGATTATAATATAACAAATAAAATATAGTAAGAATACTAAGATTTGAATAATGAAAAAATTGCAAAAATCATTATAAAGTTACATAATAAAATATTTTTGTTAATTATCCTAAAAGCATCCTTTGCATTTTCTATTTTTATAAGTATTCTGGTAAAAATATATTTCATATTTGCTGATTTGCAAATTTTGAGCCCTATTTAGGAATTATTGTGCAATAAAGTTTCAAATTTTATTGGTTAATAAATGTATTGATCTTCATTTAAATATCTCAAAATACCTAAAAAACTTCTCAAAACACTCTAATAAAATAAAAAAAAAAATTATTGGATTCTAGAGGTGAAAAAAATGATAAAGCTGTGTGATTATAAACTAAAACTTTTATTGAAAATGACTTTATAAATATCTTTTTTCATAAAGTATAACAAAATACATTTTACAAAATTTAGACACATTCTATTTGTAAAAATTTATATAGTTATGATACTAGTATTTAAAAAACTAGCTTTTCTAATAGTAAATATAAAACTAAATAATTACATAGTTAATTTTATTAACTTTTTTATTTATCAACATCCATTCACTCTTTTATCCATTAGCATAATAATGGTTTGCTATACTTCTCTTTATACTCTTCTATCAAATAACTTCTTTCTGTACTTTACTTATGAAAAACAATTCAAAAATTTATGAGGCTTAACACAACATATGGGTTGATTGCTAGAAAAATCAGGTTCCAGAAATTTTTTAGCAAAATTGAGATTTTTATTGCATTTTAGTTTTTGATGTTATTAGATTAAAATGTATTAAGCTCTTAATTTTAGTCAAAAATTTCTCAGAACCTGATTTTCCTAGAAACCTTTTTATATTAGGATAATTAAAAAATATAATCTACATCAAGGTCTTGATAATATATCAGCTAATACAATTTCTGAATTTAAAGAAATTTTAATGATGAAGATAACAAAAAATTAGTTTTAAACTTTAGATCTATAGAAAAGAAATTGGTATTCATATCATATTCTAAAAGTATATTTTTTTCTATTTTTTCTAGATATATTTATTATTATTCTAAAGCAAAGGAAAATTATAAGTATATCTTTTATAGTGATAATGCATATTAAATTTTAAGTGAAATTTTAAATTCTAATCAATAAGAAAAAAAAGGTTATTTGCAAAAATAAGAAATATATATTGTATGTTTGAATCCTATTTTGTAGAATGCTAATTTACATGATTAATCAAAAAAAATAGATCCTCTTGTGCAATTGATTATTAATAACAATATAAAAATAATAAGAAAATTAGGCGGCAAAAATTTTTGTATGAAAAAATTTAATAAAATGTAAAAACGTGTTTTAAGAGAAATTAACGAAATTTATGTAAAGCAGAATTTATATATTTCAATTTTTATATTTCACAATTCTTTGTATTATAGTTATATAATATTTATTTTATCATTTATTAGAGTAAAAAATAAAAATAAAAATTGAAAATTGATAAAATTAATAAATATTTATTTGAATATATTAATATATTTTTAACTATAATAAAATATCTAAATACAAAAATATGCCTAAATAAAGAAAAATAAATTAATTAATAAAATGTATAATTATTTGTTCTTTCTATTTAATGTAAATTCTCTTGACTTTTGGAGGTTTAGATAATACATTATAATTAAAATAAAGTGATCTATTTTCATATTTTATTATCTCTAGTATTGTAAATTTTCTTTTAAGTAAATTACTATCATTTTTGAGTATTTTACGAAAAAAGTGAAATTTAATTATAGTTTTTTTTCTTCATAGTAGAATAAAAAAATGCTTTAAAATCCCATCTTTTATACTTTTATAAAACTTTTTAACTGTGATAAACTAATACATATATATAAGAAGTTATCTAATTTTACATATATAATCCTCAAATATATATTTTTTGATAAGAAGGATTTCCTTATAGTGGAGTAGAAAATAAAAATAACTATTCAAAAGATTACTACTTTAATTGTACTAGATTTGTTTTTTTATTTTAGAAGGCATAATATAATTTATAAAATTCATTTCAAAACTTGTGAATTAATTTTACATATAAAGGCTTAAAGAGTAATTTTAAATTAAAAAACTGCAAAACAGTTTTTTTCTCATCTTCAATAAGAAATATATATTTTTAAATGTGAAATTTTTCATCTTTCTAAAAGTAAAAAAACATTTTTAATCTTTGTATTTTACCCAGAATAATACTTCACATCAGATTATTAAATAAACTATTTTCTTAGATTTCTGCAAACATTAATTTCCAAAGTCTTTTAGTAATTCATAAAAGAATATGTAATTCATCAAAGATTATATTTTCTATTAAAATTATACTAAAGAGAGGAGAATTAATATGCTTTTTAATTTTATTATTGTTTGTTACGATTTGATCTAGATTTTTTCAATACACTAATCTTTATTCAAATCTTCAATTTGATTCCTTGAATAATAATACTAAGGGTAAAAATAGTTTGTAGTAGGACTATTTAATCTAAGACTAATTACTAAAAATTTCTAATCAGAACTAAAGTATAGTTCAAATTTCTATAAAATTTCTAAGACTTTTAACATATTTTCTTTGAATAATTTTAGTTCATTAATAAAGAGACTTAACATAAATTTAAACATATCATATTTTTTAATACCTGAATATAATGCTATAGTATAATGATAATTTGCATGATAATATCAATATTTATGGTTTAAAATCATAAATGTCATCATAACATGTTTGATCTTTTGTCTTATATTTCTACCATTTCCAAAAATACGTAGATGTATAATTAGATTTGATGATTTTAAGATCTGTTGTTTTTGCAATTGAGAAATTAGATTGACTAAAATATCTTTTGTACTATAATAAATATCCAATATCATTATATTAATAACTTCTTATATAACTTTAGAATTCATAATATTTGGTTTTTCAGATGATATAATATTATATAATTTATTTTTATCTTTTATATTCATTAATGAAAATTTAATTATTTTGTTTATATATTTAGTAATTGCAATTCGCTTATTAGAACAGAATTTTCACGTGATAAATGATACTTTACAGTAGCTAAATCTCATTAAGAATCTCTTAATATCTGTTCTTGATCTATAGCTTTTACAATAAATTGAAGTTGATGACCTTTTTCTATTTGATTTTTACCTTTTTTGTAATTTACTTAAAAATCCAGTTTATTAACAAAAAATTCAACTGAATTTAGTACAATTTCATCAAATTAATAATAAACTCCTTTGATATCATTATTAAAATTAACCTGTACATTTGTTGTAATTTTTTGCATACTCTTTAAGCATTGATAAAGTATAATTTATAGTTAGTTTAATTAAATTGCCTCTTTTTCTAGACTCATATGCTTTTTATATACTTTTTAATTATAATCTAAACATAAGAGAATCTAAAAGAGTAGCATTGTTTCTGGTTTTAAAGCCTAAAAAATTTTTATTAAATGTAAAGAAATTAATATTCGCAATCAATTAGTAATTAATTATTATATAATAAAAATTTGCACAATACATACTGTACTCTTATTATTAAATGCTACATCAGATGGAAATTTGATCGAAAAAATAACATATTGAAAGTTGAAACTATATTTAATACAAAATTGTGATATTTTGTTAATATAATTAATTTCACAATGAATAGTTTTTTTTGGATATACGTCTCTAAGTTATTTCTACATCTTATATTGTTAAACTGGTCTTTTTTTTGTTTATTATTATTAGTGCTATTACAATTACTGAATTTTATAAACTCTTTGGTTCAGTTTGAGTTCTATTAAGATAAACACCTTCTTTTATAATTACATAATTAAAGTTACATTTAGTGACTTTATTTACTTGTTTACAATATAAAATATTATTGTTTATTGAATAAGTCGAAACTTCCTCAATTTGAAAATAATCATTATTTTCTTGGTCAGTACTATTTTTTCTATCTGACATTATTTTTATTGTTTAAAAATAAGATTTTTTCATTAATAACCTTCACGTCACGTGTTTATTTTATAATACTGTTTAAAATTATAAACCTGATACTGATCGTCATCGCAGATCGGCGGATATGAGTCACACAATATCACATCATTAGATTTTATGGTTAGGCCAGGTTTAGGGATCATGATAATGCGGGCCAAAATCACGTGATCGATGAATTTTCTGGAGTTAGTTATTTTTGTCCGAAGCATAATGCAATGTCGCTCTGTCCTGCAGTTGATGTCATGTCACGCGTGTTTCACAAAATTTGACACAAAAAAAATTTGATAAATTATGATTTTATTATAAATCTTATCTGGAATAATGAATGCTTCGACTAGAACGGTTACCGTTCCCTAGTACTATAAAAAAAATCCGTGAATTTTGGGAAAACTGAGGCCCGACTTATTATGTTTCACTAATTATAATTTTATAAAATCTAATGAATATTTGCTAAATTGCGATTTTTTTTAAATCATATTTATAATAATTTAGATGCATTAGATTTTTTTTTTTTTATTTAAAAATATTATCACAAATAACAAAAAACAACCGGATGGTTTAAAAATATTAAAATGATTTGGAAGATAATATATTAATTCTTTCCTTTTCTTAAAGCTTCGAAATAATTCATACTTAAAAAGGAAAAAGAATGATTATTTGATATTTTTATTTGAATGATATTGTTCTTTTTATTATTTACGCTTTACGTAATTTTTGTTTTTTTTTTACAAGCCTAAGCCCTTTTTTTTTTTCTATTGGCCTTGAGTTACGATACATCGGCCGGTCAAAGGGACGATTAAATAAAGACAATAAAGGTGTAATACAATCGATTAATCTTATTTGTAATGAAAGGCTGCCATGTGTTATAAAGTTTTCTTGTGGAAACAAAGGTTTTTTTTCGATTCTTTGATTATATGAACGAATTAACATGCTTGTGGTTTGAGATTTCAATTTATGTGATTCACGTAATATATTAAAAGTATTACCCTATTAAGTAATTGATAACTTTCATTGTATCCAAAAACGGAGAATAAATTACGCAGTGACTGGTTATTTATAAAAACAACGACAATTTGGCGTTTATTGAATGTCACAACCGTTTACAAATGGGAATGATTGTTCCGATAAACAGAAAGTTCATACTTATGCTTATCCCCCCCTTGTTTTAAACTTTATAATTTAAATTCTGACGAATATGAAAAAAAAAAAAAAAAAATGAAACCTTTTTCTCCTTATTTCTATTTTCGGATTTCATGATACAATACAAAGGGTCACAAATAAACGGCAAATAAAGAGGACGGGTTCCCAAAAAGATGTAAATTAATTATATAATCTTTTGAAACACGTAAATTATCTTTATTTTGAAACTTGACTATAAGTGGAAATAATAATAATTTCATTTTTAATATTATGTAAAAAGAACAAAGTGGAAGGTGTCAAAATTATATAAATACGAGATGAATTCCTTGATGTTTGAAAGTCTTCAGATTACTTTTACACGAGTATTCCCTCTCCTAAAAAAAAAAAAAAAATAAAATAAATTTTGATAATTTATTTTATCTCTCATTAAAAAATAAATTTTGATAATTTATTTTTATTCCTTTAAATCCTTTAATTTAATTTATTTTTGTCACTTCTCTCATTTCAAGAAACGAAAAAATAAATTTTGATAATTTATTTTAATTTATTTTATCTTTTCTTCTTTCAACAAAATATCTTATCCTCTCCTCCTATTGTAAAAAAAAAAAAATAATGCCTGAAATCCAATCCGCCATTGCTGCAACGCCTAATGCATTAAATGGGGCAGTTGAAATCGTGAATTCAGTGGTAACGATTGGCGATGCGTTAAATATAGCAAAAGGAACCTTACAATGCATCGGTACCGCGGCGGATGCAATTACCCCTTTTATTCCATTGATAGGTGCAGCGACTACGATTATTAGCGATATTATCATCATCTACCAACAAGCAGCATACAATAAAAAGATTGTTAGCGCTTTATATGATAGAACGAGATATGCAGAACTCGCCATTGAAACTTTGCAACGACGTAAGAAATTACATGAAAAAGATTTTAGAAGTCAAGAATGGTATGATGCATTTAATCGTTTCGTTGACGTTTTAAAGGAAATTAGAACTTTTGCCAAAGAAGTTTCATGTCTTCGTGGATATAAAAAGTATTTTAAAAGTTTTACCGTTAAAGAGCGATTTGAAGCTCTCACCAATTCTTATGACGTCGTTATGAAAGATTTAAACTTTACTATGGCTGTTGCAAACGAAGAACAAAGACGATATGATAACGAATGTTTAATGGATGATGTTTCTGAAATGAGCAAAGTAAGTCTTTTTTTTTTTTTAGAAAATTAACATTTTTATTCTTGCTTGAAAGGATTTTATTTTATTTACTATTTTCCTTTTTGCAGTTTCTTCAAACAATCGAAGGTGGTATCGTGACCAATGACAATAAGCTTAATATTGTTCTTGAAGAGTTAAGACTTATGAAAATCAGCATAGACAGCGGGAAAGGACCGATTGCAATGGCCAAACAAATAGAGGAAAATGAGATAACGGATCCTTATATCAATGAACCAACTGATTATCGTGGTAGCAACAGACATATTATAAGAAGGCAGTATAAGACAACCATAGAAGTAGCATGCAAACCTTTCGAATTAAATAAGGATGATAAAGAAGAATATAAGAAAAAACAAGGTCAACTCGCCATTTTATCCAAATTATCCGAATGCACAAATATTCTTAAATTCTATGGGCTAGCGAATTTAAATGGGCAGAATCACATGATATTAGAGTGGGCTCACTATGGTAACTTGAGAGAGGTATATGAAGACTATGATATACCTTGGATGAGGAAATTACATATTGCGACCGATATATGTCGAGCCATCACTTTCTTGCAATCTGTGGATATTTTTCATCACGATTTGCGGTGCGAGAACGTCATGTTGACAAGGAATTTAGAACCGAAACTTACGAACTTTGAATATGCTCGTTCCAAAAATGCTTCAACCTCTTCAATTGGTGATTTAATGAAAATAGTTCATTGGTTAGCTCCTGAAAAAATGCGCGACAGAAGTACACGATACAATATTAAATGCGAAATTTTCAGGTATAATATTTAAATAATATGAAAGTTTTAGTAAAGGTTTAAAGAGAGTTTTTAACTAACATGTTTCTCTCTTGACTTTTAACTTATAGCTTTGGGATGTTACTTTGGGAATTAACTTTTGAAAAAACTCCATATCAAGGATGGGACATGGAAAGAGTGGAAACCCACGTAAAAGCAGGAAAGAGAGAAAAAATTACATTTGGACCTGTTGCTGTTGACCGGGAATTAGAAATTCAAAAAGTATTAGAAGAAGTTATAACAGGAGGTATGTATTGGTTTGATACGTATTTGCTGATTTATTACGAATTTAGACAGGTTATTAATTATCATTTTTTTTTTTTTCCTTTGTAAATTATAAAGCATGGAAAGCAAATCCTGAAGAAAGAATTTCGCTTGTTAAACTATTCAATACACTTGAAAAATTACAATCCGAAAATAAAAATTTAATGGAACTAGGTTGTAATTCAAATTTACTTCCACAAAAATCTTTGGATTTGGATGGGTCAAGCACACCTCCACCACCACCAGATAGTGACGCGGATGCGGAATTACCCGAATTCGAGGATTTCTCGCTTGATTGTGGAATAATAACAGTAATTTCATTTGAAGAAGGGGTAAAAGCACATAAGGATGGCAAATATGATAAAGCTTGGGAATGTTTCGAATATCATGCAGATAATGGAAATGCAAATGCAAAATATTGGATGGCTTACTATTTATGGGAAGGAAAGTTTGTAGAAAAAAATTGTGAAGAAGCTGCAAAATTATTTAAGGAGGCTGCTGATCAAGGCATTCCTGATGCACAACTTCGCTACGCATTCACATTTCAAACTAAGCTAGGTAAGAAAAAGTATCGAGAAGAATTCATTAAATATTTAACTTTGGCGGCTGATGGAGGAAATCAATCCGCTCAATATAATTTGGGGGATGTTTACTTTAATAAAAAATTAATGATGGGTGATAAGCAAAAAGGAATTTATTATTTAAAATTAGCTGCCTTGCAAAATCATCCAAATGCAATTAAAATGTTGGAAAAACATAATATAAGTTTTGCCGATGGACCAAAATTAGAAAATTAGATATATGATTACATTTTTTCATAGTTGTACATTTTTAAAAAATTATAAATAAAAGTAATAAAAAGAACAAAATTTTAATATATAACAATATCTGTGTTCTGAACAATGAATAGGTTATGATTTATGCGCCCTCCCTAACTTTCAGCCATTTTGCGTGTATATTTATTTTAAATACCCCTTGCAATTTTAATCTCATCTTTTGGAAAAAAAAATATCTAGGAGTATAATATTACTTGTGTACACCGATCATCACCTCATACAAGATAGGACCCCTACATATTCTTTCGGTCAAATGACTAAAATATTTAATTACAAATTTAAAAGATGAAACTTGATTGGTCTAAATATATATGAATGATTTAATTTTTTTAACGTACCGGTACGTTTCACTTTATACGACAAAAAGCACGTGAATTGAATTGCGATAATTGCTTTATAAATTAAAAAATGTTAAATCACGAAATTTATATTAGATAATGTGATTATTAAACATGAGGATCGTCAGAGACATTAAAAGATTTTTCTTGAATCTCTTAGATATCATCAATAAATGCTTAAATAACGCTTTCTCTTTTATTACAACGAAAGTTTAAGTACCGCGAACCTAGTTTCATGAACATATGGCATTACGGAAACACGTATTTCTCGTTTCTAGGTATCGTTTATCACGTGATAAAGCTTTAACAAAGAAATCACAGAACTACAAAAACTACTATTAATGAATTATTGTAGTTAGAAGTTACATCTATCTCCCGAAGAACTATTCCATTTAATAATATTTATGTCAAGTTTGCAAATTGTTAAATCCAAAATCGCGACTATTTACGCGTGACATTAAATCTGTAAAAAAATCTCTTGTATATTTGATTTTGTTTTTCATTCTTTGCATTTACTTTTTTGATTGTGACAAGAGCATTAGAGCAACAAAAGATTGTCTTTTAATTATGCCTTATAAACGAATTAAAATTACCAGAGTAACGCAAAAAAGTTTAATCTATAATAACGGTCAATCAAACGGTTGACTAACAGGCCGTCCAGGGATTGGTAATTTGGCATACCAGAATTAAATCAAAGAACGAAATTTATAATGTACGCATTTTAAATTTAATAAATATATGATTTCTAAAATCAACCTCCTATTAAATTCCCACAAATAATTAAACATTTTTAACGATATACCGTATAAGGTTAAAAACTAACGCATCTTTTTAAGGTAATTGGAAATCATTTTGAATAATTAAAGACTAATTTTTTGAAGAACAGGTGTTTATTAGGAAAAAGTTCTTGTGTAAAATAATAGTAACAATAATTACGACCTGAATATTAATACGAATATTTTTTTTTTAATGTAAATCATATCGATATAATCATACAAAGAACTGAATACATATAAATCTAAAATGACAACAAATAATATTTTCATTCATATATATTTATATTATGTTTTTTCAAAATTTCTACTGCTTTAGACTGACCATACAAACAAGCTTGTCTTAAATATTTAATACCTTTTTGTGTGTCCTTTTCAAAATTAAGTTTACCTGAAAAATATACATCGCCAAGGTTATAAAGAGCGGTAGCATTATTATTATCAGCTGCCATTTTTAAATATTCCATGAACTTTCTACTATCAATATTTTGATTTTCTTTATCAATTAAACAAAATGCATATCGTAATTGAGCATCAGCATTACCCGCATCCGCCGCCTCCTTAAATAATTCCATGGCACGTTTCTTGTTTTTTTCTACATGTCTGCCTTCCAGATAATAATACCCGCACCAATATTTTGCCAATATATCTCCTACTTCGGCGTTCCCTTTGAAACATCCCCAAGCCTTTTCATAATCATGTGCTTTGTGAGCTTGTAAACCTTCTTTGACCGTAAGTAATGGTGTAACTGGTGTAGAAATAGAAAAATTATCATCAGGGATACTTAAGTCTTGTTGGTCATCATCTTCACAACGTACTATCGGAGAAATTATATTTAATATATATTTCTGAAATAATTCATTCATCATATTGAAGAGAAGTTGAATTCCTGGACGTAATGATGGTTCTTGTTGCCAAGCGAGCTTAATAATTTCACCATATCCAGCTTGAAGTGGATTTTGGGTTAATCCAAATTCCAATGTTTCCCTACCACCTTTGGAAACATATTTTTGTATGTCCACCATAGTCATTTTTTCGTATGGTATTTTTTCAAAGGCAAGTTCCCAAAGGAGCATTCCAAAACTGAAAATTTCACATTGAATAGTATATCTAGCTTCTTGTTTTTTATTAGGATTTTTCGGATCACGATCATAACTGTTTAACTTTTCTGGTGCTAACCAATGTATTATAGCATTCATATCATCGATCTGACTGGTAACTTCGTTAATTTCACGAGCAAATTTGAAATTACAAAGTTTGGGTTGCATTTTCTCTGTCATTAACACGTTTTCGCATCGAATATCATGATGCAAAATTTCCACTGTAGATTTAAATGTGTAAAAAAGGTTAATTTTGAGCGTACATTATGAAAACTTTTTGATTAAAAATCATCACCTGCATGTAAAAAGGCTAATCCACGACAGATATCTCTTACAATAGTAATCTTTTCCTCCCATCCAAGGCTAAAATTCTGATAAACTTCTTTTAAAGTTCCTAGTTCCGCCCATTCAAAAACCATTACATAATTTTTTTCAGATAATTCTGATACTCCATGAAATTTAATAATATATGGACAAGCGTGTAACTTTCCCAAAATAGCAAGATGTTTCTGAATTTTTTGCATATTATTCGTAGCAATCGGTTTGCAAGCAACTTCCAATGAATTAAAACTTTTTTTTAGAACTGTTACTCTGTTGCCTTTACGTTGAACGACGTCTTGCGCATCACAAATTTCTGAAGGTTTGATTCTTTTAGCTTCTACTTGTAAAGAATTTTGTCCATTTACTTGTTTGCTGAATGAGGAGATGGAATCAATTTCTT